GTTATATAAGTAATCATCAATTTTTTTCTCACTTTGAAAATAGGAGTTTTGAGCCGCTAAATTCACATTCTGGACCACTGTGCGGCGCGGTGCCGTATGTGGAATCGGTTGGCTACGTCGGGTGCCGAGAAAGCTCGGCGGAAGCGAAGTACCCTCCACTTCCTGGTCCCTGTGAGCCGGATCCGATACAGGTCAGGTAGTGCACCCGGTCCCGAGAATCCTCGGTCGAGGCGGAGAGCGCTCCACCCCGTGTGTGCCCGAGTACGGTGTTCAGGTGAGCACGCGTGCGCAGTGTCGAGAAAGCTCGACTGTGACGGAGTACTCTCCATCGCTGGTTTCCCACTGCGTAGTGTGCGACAGGATTCAGGTAGCGCGACTTGCGGATAAGCGCGTTGTGCTCGGAAGCTCGTCTCCAAAGGAGTGCTCTTTTTAGCCCGGTTACCCCTTTTTATAGGGGCTAATCGTTACGGCTAATTAATCTGTGCGAGTGTGCGCGTGCGTAGCGGCGCGCGCCGCTTGCGCATGGCTCGTCGCCGCGTCGCACGCTCGGGCCTGGTCGTCGGTCTCCGGGGCCGTTCGCGGCCCCAGCTGATCGGCGCGTTTGGCTCGCGGCCGTAACGCGCGCTCGGGTCCGCTCGGCGGTCTCCGGGGCCGCTCGTGGCCCCAGCCGATCGGTTCGGTGCGTCCGTGTGTCGCGGACTTACGCGGCGCAATGCGCCTGCGTCTTGCCCGACGGATGTTCGGTCGGGTGCATCCGGCGTGTGCAATGCCAGGAACGATGTATCGGGGGGTGCATCGTTACAACACCCCCCTCCTTAAATGGGCTCGAATTTGGAGCCTTCGTTCTGCGCCTGGCCTCTCAAGGGCTCCTCGGGCGTCAACGCGGAGGTGACGCTTGTAGCGGTTCGTGGCGTCGGACCGCTTTGTGCCGGTCTCGACCCTACTGCTCGTTGTCCGAGTCTTCGTCCTCGTTATTGACTGTCGTCGTCGCAGGCTTTAAGTCTTTGACGTGGACGTGCCTATGCCACTTCCCTCTCTGGTCCCTCAGGTCGACGATGACGGATGACACGATGCGGCGAACTTCCAT